AGAAAGAAAGAAAGAAAGAAAGAAAGAAAGAAAGAAAGAAAGAAAGAAAGAAAGAAAGAAAGAAAGAAAGAAAGAAAGAGAGAGAGAGAGAAAGAGGGAGGGAGGGAGGGAGGGAGGGAAAAAATGACAGGGACAGACAAGAAGCCTCCATTTTGCTCATGTGGTGACAGGGAGGTCGACTCCCCACTTGGGGACTCTGCTAGTTCTTCCTAGTCTTTTTTTTTTTCCAGGCAGAAAAGAGTTTATTGGGGTGAGGGCAACTGCCAGCCCCTATGCACAGAGACAGAGGGGAAGGATAAAGAAAAGAGCAAGTTCTTCCTATTCTTTCATGGCTTTTCTGTCACCTTCAAATAAACATACTTTTTGCCTTAAAAAAAAAAAGACAATGAAACCTGTTGAAATTGTTTTAGGAAAAGGATTAAAAGAGAGAGGGAGGTGCTGAGCTTGAGTTGAATACATTGTACATACTTTGGGACAAATTCTCAATGTGCTGCTCTCCTTTCTACTTAAAACAGCCTTGAAATAACTTTGCCAGGAACTCTCTCTCACACTTTAAAATTCAGATTTTCGCACTCACCACGTGATTCCCAAGACCAAGTTGATTCTTTATTTGAGGTCCTCTTTCTTCTCTGTATTAGTATATCTCAGTGAAAGAAACCTCATCTTTCCAAGTTTTCAAGACAACCTGACATTTATTCTTGACTTTTCTGAGACATTTGAGAATCCATATGCAAGCTGGGGGGAGGGGGGGGAAGGTGGAACATTCCTGTAATCCTAGTTACTCAGAATGTTAAGATCCAGTGGGTCACAGTTAGAAGCCAGCCCGGGGCTGGAAAAAGCCCGGCTGGAGGGCGTGGCTCGTGAGTACTGGGTTGAACGTGCAAGGCCAGGCAGCAAGAGTGCCGGGAATGGGGTTCTGGTCCTGGAGGAAGCATTCAAAAAGAGAAGACCCCATCTGTACGCTCTCGAGTGCTGATTATAAAGAATGTGCAGAATCCACCTTTTAAATCTAATGCCAACACCGGCCACTTCGCTCGACTCCTCGCGGGCTTCCCGCTCTCGGGGCTCTCGGCCTGCAGAGATGGGCGCACACGCCGAGCGCCGTACGCGGCGTCAGATCGAGGCCATCGTGGCTCCCGAGCTCACCCCGAGGAGCGAGGCCGGGGCTCCAGGGAGGAGGCGGGAAACGCACGGACATGTGGCCCGCAGCCCCCCCGAGCGCCAACCGCCCAGGCGTCGCCGGCCGCAGGCAGCCCAAGTGCGCACGCGGCTCCCGGCCCCAGGCTGCTCGGACCCCGGTCTCACCTGGCCCGTGCCACGCCGGAACAGCACCGAATCTTCCTGCTCCGAGACGCCGCCGCCGCCGCCGCCGCTGCTCATCGCCATGATGGGCCGCTAGCAGGACGCTCCGCACGGCGTCCGTCGCCGCCCAAGTGACGACTTCCGCGCCCGGAAGCTTCTGGGACCGGAAGAGTACGGTGGCCGGGAGGGACGCTTGCTTTCTGCAAATGGTTTCCGCTTCTTATGTTTGCTCCACGTGCTTGCTTTTCTTTCCTTCTTTAATCCTCATCATCTTTTTATTCCTTTTTGTTGTCTTTTATTAACATGATTCTATGACGGTTAGAACACTACGCGTCCTTAGAAGTTACTAATTGTAATTTAGAAAATAAAGGTAAACGCACTGCATTCACACACGGCTTTGTTAAAGGGCAACTCCTCCATGAGCGATGTAAGAGATTAAAAAAAAAAAAAAAAGGTAAAGAATACTGTATGCGCCGGGCGCCCGTGGCTCACGTCTGTAATCCTAGCTACTCAGGAGTCTGAGATCTGAGGATGGAGGTTTAAAGCCAGCCCAGGCAGGAAAGTCCATGAGACTCTCAGCTCCAATAAACAACCAGAAAACTGGAAGTGGGGCTGTGGCTCAAATGGTAGGGCGCTAGCCTTGATTTGAAGAGCTGAGGGAGAGTGCCCAGGCCCAGAGTTCAAGCCCCATGGCTGACAAAAAGAAAAAAAAATACAATATGCAGCCCAGAGATAAGCAGTAATAAAGTCATCATTCCCTCCCCCCCCCCCCCCCCCCCCAGTCTTGAGACTTGAACTCAGGCACTGTCCCTGAGCTCCTTTGGCTAGCACACCACCACTTGAGCCATAGCCGGCTTTTTCTGTCCATGTGGTACTGAGGAATGGAACTCAGGACTTCGTGCATGCTAGGCAAGCTCTCTACTACTAAGCCACATTCCCAGCCCCCCAAACTACCACTCTTTAAAATGCTTTGAAGGATTTGCCTCTTTTTACAACCTTATGAAATAGGGGCAGGTGGAGCTGTGAATTCCAGACGAACATACACACATGCTGAGGCACTAAGCATTTACACAGTAGAATTCAGGCCTTCAGCTTCACAAACTTCAGCATTACTTTTTTTGTTGGTTGTCAGTTGTGGGACTTGAACTCAGGGCCTGGGCCTTGTCCCTGAGCTTCTGTTCTCAAGGATAGTGCTCTATGGCTCTTGAGTCACAGTGCCACTTTTTTTTTTTTTTTTTGGTTGGTCATGGGGCTTGAACTCTGGGCCTGAGTGCTGTCCCTCAGCTCTTCAGCTCAAGGCCAGCGCTCTACCACTTGAGCTACAGAGCCACTTCCGGTTTTCTGGTGGTTTATTGGAGATAGGAGTCTCACAGTCTCTCCTGCCCGGGCTGGCTTTGAACCAAGATCCTTAGATCTCAGCCTCCTGAGTAGCTAGGATTGCAGGCGTGAGCCACCAGCGCCCAGCCCACAGTGCCACTTTTGCATTTTTCTGAGTGGTTTATTGGAGATAAGAGTGTCAGACTTAGCCACCAGTGGCTCACGCCTGTAATCCTAGCTACTCAGGAGGCTGAGATCTGAGTATCACAGTTCAAAGTCAGCCTGGGCAAGAAAGTCCATGAAACTCTTATCTCCAATAAACCACCAGAAAATCAGAAGTGGCGCTGTAGCTCAAGTGGTAGAGCACTAGCCTTGAGCTGAAGAGCTGAGGGACAGAGCTCAGGCCCAGAATTCAAGCCCCAGGACTAACAAAAAAAAAAAAAGTAAGTGTCAGACTTTCCTGACTGGGTTGGCTTTGAACTGTGACATTCAGATCTCAGGCTCCTTTGTAGCTAGGATTATAGGTGTGAGCCATTCCTGCATGGCAGCATTACTTTTTAAAATATATATTGTAGTATTATGGCTTGAAAGCTAAATATGGTAGCACTTGAGCCAAATTCCCAGTCCTTTTGCTTTCAATGTATTTTTCTGATAGGGTCTATTTGCATGGTACTTTGAGAGCCTCTTACCTTTGAAGTTGGGGGTTGTTGGGATAACAGGGAAATACCAAAAGTCAAGTAAGCTGTTCATCATAAAAGTAAGTTTCAGCTGGGCCCCGGTGGCTTAGGCCTGTAATCCTAGCTACTCAGGAGGCTGAGATCTGAGGATGATGGTTCAAAGCCAGCCTGGGCAGGAATAAAACACCAGAAAAACCGGAAGTGGCTTTGTGGCTCAAGTGATAGAGTGCTAGCCTTGAGTGGAAGAGCTGAGGGACAGTGCCCAGGCCCAGAGTTCAGGCCCCACGACTAACCAAAAAACAAAACAATTTCCCTAGACTAACCAAAAGATAAAATATTCCAGCTAGGGGCTAGGAAGGTGGCTCAGTGGTAGAGTGCTTACCTTGCATGCATGAGGCCCTGGGTTCAATTCCTCAGCACCACATAAACAGAAAAAGCCAGAAGTGGCGCTGTGGCTCCAGCGTAGAGTGCTCTCCTTGAGCTGAAGAGCTGAGGGACAGCGCCTAGGCCCAGAGTTCAGGTTCACTACCGGCAAAAAAAAAAAAAAAAAAATTCCAGCTAGGTGCTGGTGGCTTACGCCTATAATCCTAGCTACTCAGGAAACTGAGATCTGAGGTATATTTACAAATATATATATATACATATATGTATATATATCTATAAAACAGAAACCTTCACCTTCCTAACATGTAAGGCTGTTTAAATAATATAGAGAAAATTGATTTGGTTTTTTTCTTTTGTACTTAAAAAAGTACTCTAGTACAATGGTATCTTGAATAGATTTCTACTAAGCTTTCTTGAAATGTTTTTCCTGATACAAGCAAATTGGTTTCAGAATTATTAATCACATTAACGAGATAAGAGTGATTAACTGGAGATAAGAGTCTCACAGAGTTTGCTGCCCAGGCAGGCTTTAAACAGTGATCCTCAGATCTCAGCCTATGGAGTAGCTAAGATTATATTTATTAGCCACCAGTGCCTAGCAATTTTCTTTTAAATTTTTAAGTCTAATTCTTTTTTTTTTTTTTGGGTCCGGTCGTGGGGCCTGAACTCTGGGCCTGAGCGCTGTCCCTCAGCTCTTCAGCTCAAGGCTAGCACTCTACCACTAAGCCACCTTCCCAGCCCCAAGTCTAATTCTTACTGAACCCTCTAATGTAGTTTACATCCATTTAGCCGGCATGCAAGATGGTTTGTACTGACTATAAATTCTTCAAGCAATATGAATCCATTGTGAAGAAAGGCATCTTAGAGTTCTTTTAGACAATAAATTTGTATGTGTGTGGTACTGGGATGTATACCAGGCCTCATGCATGCTAGGTAAGGCCTCTACTACTGAGTTCCACCTCTACCCCTATGTAAGACTTACTTTATTTTTACTATTATTATTATTTTTGTTGTCGGTTGTGGGGCCTGAACTCTGGGCCTGGGCGCTGTCCCTTAGCTCTTCAGCTCAAGGCTAGCGCTCTACCACTTGAGCCACAGCACCACTTCCGGC